ACCTGAATAACTGTTTCCATTTTTTTCTAAATTAGAACAAACCCTTTCGTCCCAAGCATTTAATTTAAAACCTAAGGTTTTAAAGCCATATGTCCATTTGATGGGAAGGGAGCCATCTTTGTTGAATGTATTCCTTCCAATCAATGGTATGATTCTTTTCTTTGATTAAATATAAAGGTTATATTACGGCGACAGGAATTAATATTGAATATCTTTACAAGTCCCCATCCCGAAAAGTGTCCCATATTTCATATGTTTCTGATTATCAAATTAGTCTGAGGTTTTGAATGAGTGGAAAATTTTACAAGGCTAAGATGAAAAAGAATAATTATCAAAATTGGATAGTTTACAAGTCCTTCTTCCAAAAATAAGGCTCAATGTGAGAGTATGCTGATTGCCGAACTTGTTTACGACTTTTATGAGTGAATAATGGTTGAAACATGCGGTATCCAGGCGGCATAGTGATAACAGACAGACGAAATGATGGGTGGACGTGTCAATCAAATTATACCATTCCACTTCGTTTTGTCGTGTATGAAAACATATTCAAGTAATGCACATACATATCCTATCGACTTATTGTATTCAATGGATGTATACCAGAGCGGGCTTTTCCTATCATGATTCACTAGGTAGAGGGTTGGTCCTTACAAGAAAGATTTTGAATCAAGGGTTTCTAATAGTAACATTGAATTTTAAAAGATTACTGGACGTCATCAGGATTTGGATTATCATTATTGAAAATCTGTGACCACAGAACTATTATTATTGTCGTAGCCACAACCCAGTCTTCTTTTCATCGATTGAATGCTTATCTATATTAAACTAAAATGCATATATCAGAGAATGGGAATAGAACCTCAGTCGATGGTAAAGATTCTCCCAAGCATATTGAAATTCATATTTCATAGGTAGTTTATTTCTAATTGTTTATTTGTTTTCAATAGTAAATATTTTTGTCATCTTTCAAAAGAAATTACGAAATTACCTGCATTATATTTATTAAATCGAGGTAATTATTTGTTTGTTGATGTACGTATGTGTGTGACCATTGTATTATAATGCAAAGATGTAACTTGAAATGAGATAAAGCACAAACATTTTTATGACGATGTTAAATTTGAGGATGGGCGTTACTGATATTCAAGATCATTAGTTTGCCAAGAATGATATGCAAGTTCCTCTGTTGTCTTTCGTCAGACATATGTGCATTTTAGCGGTAATCTTAGTCTGGTAAGCATTTTGATATTTCTTGCATCAGTTTCCAAGATAACAGTCATAAAAGCATTGGATTTTTAATTAGTTAAAGCTGTATATGTAATAATCATATATAAATGCTTCAAAATACTAGCATACAAATAAACTACTGAGTTTATAGATCATGAAATTATACTAAATTAATGTCACAATTCCACAGCCAATGTTGTATGATTATGGCTATTTTTAAGACCCAGATATTCTTACATGTCTTATGTATATATTGCTCCCTTGAACACTGTGTATTTAACCGATGAGGATGATTTAATAAATATGATTCATCCCGAAATAATTAAATATCACTTTATACCCTTCAAGCTAAACGTGATTGGCATTCTTGAAGTCCTGGATTATCTGTACAACATGCAGATCCTACATTGGGTTCGTTTCTGGTACCACTCATGAGAAAGCATACGAAAATTTACAGCTTTTTAAACATCTGGCATTGGAATCGTTTCAATTATGATATTAAATTACATAATTTTAACATCCCTCTAATGCAAAATAGTTTAAGTGAGATTAAAAGTCACAACGGATAATTAAATATATTCGCATTTGTATTTGTTTGGCACTACTGCACTTCAATTTTAAAATTGTTTGAATACTTCTAAATACATTTTGAGAACGTGGACGTGTTAACTAGTGTCTTCTTTGTAAATTAAAAACACCCGTAACAGGGAAGATAACTCAAATTAAAATTTAGAGGCAATTTGCAAAACATGAACTGAATTGTGAATGACACACAATTTTGATTTCAAGCATTAGCAAAGAAAATTTGTAAATGAATTTATGTACCCAAAGTACGAGCATATTCGTGTTCATATTTGTTCGAGTCTAGGGATATGATGAACCGCATATATCGTAGTGAGATATCATGTTGCTCAAAGCAATTTACGGAAAGACGTGTTTTTAAGAACATTGAAATTGTTATTTGCTGTTTCTCGACAAAGCACCAGCAATAGAAGAAAAAACAAATATGTGTCGGCTAGTGGTCACAAAATGTTTCCGGTAACGGTAAATAATCAAAGCAAGTCCTCTTAATTTATGATCCAAACTTGGAGTACTTAGGAGTTGACAAACATTTAATGAATGAGATAGAAATAGTAGTTTATTAGATGATATACTATTTGAACTTCATTTTCGATGCTTGCATATCAATTCTAATTTCTGTTATGTTTATTGTGGAAAGTTGCGAATGAAACATCGCAAATAAACGTTGACCATTTGTATTGCATGACAATATATTGTTTCAAAATTTTACATCATTTATAAGAGGTTGAAAAAAATAATCTTCCTGGTCATTTCTTTTTTTTTTCGTGCTGTATTTTCATGGGAATCATGGTAAATTCAAATGATATATGCAAATGGTGTATTTTATGCTAACACATAATAAAATGGAAGACACGAAAGTCCCATTGAACGGCACGTTTATTCCTTTGTTATAAAGAAATGTTTTACGGAATCACAATGATATTGTTAGAATCAGTCTGTTATCCGGTCAGAGACTTCACATGTTAAATATATTAATGGCCAATGGAATTAGCATTGATTATTATTTGACATCCACGTTTGGTTACATTTGATATTGATAGGTTTCTTTGAATCCAATAACATGTTTTAAGCAAAGTAATGCAATATTGTAGTCATATTCTAACCACAGTTAATGTTTGATTGATGCATAATGTAATGATATTCACTTTAATAATTAAAAAGTGAATACTTTCAATTAGCACAGTATCCATTGTTTTTGCATCTGAAAATATAATGAACAATTGTTTTCATATTGTATATCCGGTCACTAGAATTATATTTGAGGCTTCGGCATACTGCACATTCTCAAAACTTCCGGTAAGAACCAAACTCAGGTTATCCCTGACCCAGGTCATTAAAAAGTTATGTCATATAGATATATATTCTTCAGACTAGATGCGTATGACAAGTCTACTTTTGTTTTATAACCGCCAAATATGGAAGAGATCATCATCCATAGAATGGTATGAACGCTTTGATGAATATTTTAACTGCAATCCTTATATCACGGATGTCAAAATAAAATTACCTATTCTATCTGAATCGGGGCTTTTGAGATGGGGTTGAAAATTAATAGTCTGAATTGAGTAAAACATAAAAATCCCTAATATGATAAGTCTATAAAACACATAAAAAACAATGATCAGTCCCCTTTATAGAATCAGTGGTAATGATTCTTATCACCACTCTGTATACGAATTTGGAACTCATGTCATCCACTTGGTGTAGCATAATTACATGTAAAAAGCCAAATAACCTGAGGTCATATGTGATGAGTTTAACAAAATGGTCCAAGGTCTTTCCACTTATTTACGAACGATTATAAAACAGATTTAAACCATAAGTCAAAATAGGTTGGTCTTTTGTCATTGTTTTATTCATTAATATACAAAGGGGTTTTTATGTGTATTCATCCTAGACAAAGGAATATGACCTAGGGTCATTGTGTTCCAAATATCCTGGACAATGGGGAATGGTCTATATAAGACTAGCCATAAAACCAGGTTCAACCCACCATGTTTTCTTAAAATGTCCTGTACTAAGTCAGGAATATGGCAGTTGTTATCAAATAGTCCGTTTGTATGTATGTTGGCGTTTGTTTTTGTTGCAGTTCTGTGTTTCTGTTGTTCCGTTGTTTTCCACTTATAGTTGATGTGTTTCCCTCGGCTTTGGTTTGTGACCCTGATTTGTTTTCGCTTAATCGATTTATGACTATTAAACAGCGGTATACTACTGTTGCCTTTCTTTATCTATGGCCATTGTCTTTTACATTAATATACTAAGGGGATGACATCAGGTAATTCTATTATAAAAATTATATACAACAAAGACAAAAGGCCTCAAACTATTTTGTTAAACGGGTCCATTACAAAAAATAGTATCTAGGGACATATTCTTCTACAATAGAAGAGCTCAGGGAATCACGTTCCCCAATTTCAAGGGAAGTGAAATTATGAAGGATATGCCATCTGGTGAATGCGTTCTTCATTATTTACAATTTTCTTCTCATTTCAGACATTTTACTTTCAACCTTTTCTCGACCCACGTCGTCTCACCCCGTTCAAAAGGATATATCGTGTTATTCTTAAAGGTGATACCTATTTTCATATTCCTGATTTGAGGGTAGCAGGTGTCATAATGGTTAGTTTCAAATGGTTCATACCGTTAAATGGATGGGATCGCTTAAAATATTTGGCTGTTAAAAAAAGAAAGTACAATTGTCGTGTCGTTTTATCTGAAGAATATATCTCTATGACGTAGACTTTTTCTGAGGTAAGGACATGAGGTCACTGCACGTTTCAAAAATGTGCCACCAGACCATAAGAATTGAACACCTGTATAAGGAGAGATAACTCAAATACAAAAAGAAATTCAACTCTGAAACATTTGCATTATGTGTTCCTCAAGAGCGACAGGTTCTCCTGAGGATTGTCAGTACATCGTAAGATAGCAATAAGACTTTAAAATACACACCGAAAACAAGAACCAAAAAGATCTCTATTACCAATATCTCAATATTTATTAAAAAATGAATGATCAATGTAAATTCTCATTTTGATAAGACGGCATCTACTAGTGATGGCAATATATCCAAACAACTGTTAACTAGTTCATGGAAAATGGTAAAACACACACACACACGCACGTACTGGAAAGATTACCAAAAGAAGGTAAATCAATAGAAATAAAAAACAAATAAGTATTCTACTCACCAATTATCTTCAGATTGAGATCTTTGTCAAGTAAAAAATTTTCTAATTTCAAGTCTCTGAAATAGAACATAGTGTACGCCTACATATGAATACTAGTACTGAAATGTGCGGATCTATCATGAAGTCAAGATGTTCAGTATAATTCATAGAACAGAAACACTTATTCGCAATAAACTGTCTGTGCCTGGCTTGACGAGTTTCTTTTCAAAAAACTAATATTTACACCAAATAAGAAAAGAATAAATTTGTTTACTAACTTGCCATATACAAATGAAAAGATATATTATAGGTTTATAGCATGAGACACAATTTGGAGTAGACAGCAAACCAAATACACAGAAATCAAACGAAAACTAAATATTTTTTTATAACTCATGGACATAGAAATTATTGCATCGCACAACATTGGTCCTTCTCGAATGCTTCATTACGTTGCTGAGTCAATTTATTTTGGAAATAAAGCAGCCGTTACTTGTAAGAAATGCTGATTTCTATATAAGCAGGTTAAATAATCTGATGTGATGTTGCTTTCAGTGACCACTTTATACTATTCATTATGTGCAAATAATTTGTAGATATGATTTATAATTAAACATAGAATTTAATTCACTCTTATTAATAAAAAAAAATACCTATAAAAGCACGATTCAGAGTTCAGTAGAGTCACTGACTTGACCTGAATAATTTATTCAAGGATTAATTTTTATGAAATAATTTCATCTTGATTTGATTTACACTGACCTGAAGTCAAGTTTAGCATTTGATAAGTTATTAATAAGGGTAAATTCAGTAAATAAATATACGTCATTAGGGACCGTCCATTCGGGGGAGAGCTTTCTTTATAACACTGAAGTCATATGCTCTTCTGATTGGTACTAGTAGATAATGTTTGTAATAAATATTTTTTGATAGATGGATCAAAACTGGAGTTAAATAAAATTAAGAAATGAATGCTGAATGCACTTAATTTTTTTACTACAGGGTTGAAAAGTAATGGGGGTCAGTATAGGAATTAAGTGCGAATCTACAGTGTTTGTAAACAAGGCCATGTGAATGTATGAGCCATAAAAGTGTCCTGTGAAAAAGTGTCCACCCGGACACTTTTTCATAGAAAAGGTATATTTAAATGTGTCCGATACTGTGAAAAAGTGTCCATTCAATCGGACATAATTTCATGATAAGATACTATTAAATTATGTCCTGTAAAGGTTGATTTTCAATAAGAGGACAGTTTTTACTTAAACATTACTTAAACAAACCAATTAAGAACCAATTATAATTTGATATAAACAAAAGTGTTGAATTCCAAAGCATTTTCAATTATCTTATCTATAAAGATGTCGACAAAAAGTATCCACCAGCCTCAACTGACAATGAGAAAAGAACTATCAAGAGAAAAGCATCCAACTATAAAACAGTTCATATTAAGTTCTATAAAATGTATTACTGTTTTTGTGTGTATTAGTACATGTTTTATTGTATAATTAATGTTTAATTACACATGGTGATGATCACATTTTGTATGAATTCAATACTCCAGTTTACATGCCATATATGTTTTAATAAAGACAAAACCCCCATGCTAATTTTAAAACTTCAATTTAGATAAATTAAGAACTGAAGCTATGTAAACATTTTGTATGTATTCACTATTGAGAGTGGACACATTTTAACGTGAAATACTGTCCTTTATATGCACTCTGTCACTATAATTTTTCAAGGCCACACAATAATCACAAAGCTGATTTCCTGTACATATCAATTCGATGGAAGCTTTTTGGAACCAGTTAAAGTTATTTTTCCATACAAAATTCTATGTTTAACTGCGGCTGGCAAGGATGCACTGAGTATACTGTGAGAGGAAGCATTGGTATATGGGAAAAATCCGTTTTGTGTCCAGATTGAAAGAAACAATAGAAATTACACTTTAGAGTTATAAAATTGATGAAAGACATAAATATCCTCTCCATTTTACATCAACGTTTGCACATATTTCTTCTAATAATGTGTAAAATCATAATTACCTCCCTTTGACAAAGTGTATTTTTTAGCAGTGTTCCCATGTAAAGTTGCAGATCAAGTTGTTATTTAACACTTTTTCAAGTTTTTTAACACTCGAATAATCTGACCCAATGAAGATATTCATTTCTCCTTCCATAATTCATTGCGTTTCTTTAATTTGAAAACATTCTGAACGGCTTTTCAGGATTAGATACCCTTCATCTATGAAACTGGTGTTGAAATGTTTGTATTTCAAATTGGATTACCATGTTAAATAGATATAAGCAAATGTGGTATGAGTGCCAATGAGACAACTCTCCATCCAAGTCACAATTTATAAAATGATTGCTTTTAAATATTCTAAATTGCCACTTTGATCTTTCAAATGCAAAGTTTGGTCATACCCAGTCTTATTTTTTTCATATTTGGCACATTTTTCTTCTTCAGTTTTGGCTTTCCAGTTTTGGCGAAGAAACCATCATGATGTTGGGTTAACAGGAATTTCTGCAGAATGTTTGTCATTGACAGTTTTTGAACTTTACAAATAATTAAAACACAGATTTAGTAAAATGAAACATAATTGTTGTTTTTTGAGGTATGAAACTGCTTAAAAGCCTTTGAAAAGCCTTTTGGGGGTATTTTCAGGATATATAATCAAAAACTTCCATATAAGGCGAAGTTTAACTAAAAGTAAATAAAGACTTTAGTTCTTAGATGTACTTGCAATACTGGTCAAAACAAACATACAAAACAATTTATAAGTATTGAGCATATTATTTTACATCATTCTTTTGAAAACAGTCAATGTGCAACTTTATATACAAAATACGCATTGGCCGTAGTATGGGCTGTAGATAAATTTTCCTCTATCTTTACGAATTCAGCATTTGTGAATCTTGTATTGAAACTGGAACATGAAAATTGGATAAATTACATGATCAAAAATACAAAAAAAAATAGGAAATGAGGAAAAAAGGTCCCTTATAGGGGAAAATTCCGTAAATGAATATACGTCATCAGGGACCGCCAATTTGGGGAAAGCTTTCTGTATAACACTGAAGTCCTGTGCTCTTCGGATTGGTAGATAATGTTTGTAATAAATATTTTTTTGATAGATGGATCAAAACTAGAGTTAAAAAAAAACAAGAAATGAATGCTGAATGCACTTTATAACTTTTTTACTACAGGGTTGAAAAGTAATGGGGGTCAGTATAGGAATTAAGTGCGAATCTACAGTGTTTGTAAACAAGGCCATGTGAATGCCCAGAGATGACGCACGACCCTATGTTTTTGTTGTTGCAAAAGATGGGGCTACATTTGTACTTTAATGAATGATATATGAAAGCTTCTGATTTCTAAAGGTAAACCAGGTATAAATTTAATTCAAGACAGATTTGCATTAAAGTCAATTGGAGATTTTTGACTGAATTTACTACTATAAAATTGTTGGCGAAACACAAACAAACAACTTGTAACGTCCCATTTCATTGGCAGAAAGATTCAAATACAACAACAATCGTATTGTGCACGTGAATTAACACAGGTGACCGATAATGGATGTACTTTGTCACTACGAATGTAAAAAGAATTAAATAAATGTGTGTGTAATGCTGTGTCGTCGCCTGATTTTCAAATATTACTCTTGTGATTTTTTTTTTCAATTAGTAATGTTCTTTATGCAACAAGACAATTACCCTCTACCGGATTATAAAAATTAAAAGGAAAAATACATGTGCCACTTTTATACGGATAAATACATGATCCACTTTTAATTTTCTTTCACACTGACGGGATACAATTATATCCTAGGTTATTTTCCTGACAATGTCGTAGTTACATATAATAAGGATATCATAATAAAAATGATTCATGATGGGTTGCACGCTTCTCTTTTGTTTTCATGCTATAAAGCTAAGCGTTTGGTCATTCAGAAATAACGTATTCTCACAAACGAAACAAATTGTCCCATTCATTCTCCGAAAGATATAAACAAAACAACACAATTGACGTACTATAGAATGTACTTATCATGGTTAATACGAAAAGGAAATGAATTGAAGGCATGTTTGTGTAAAAAAAGGTTGAAATGTAACACTGAAGGAGATTTTGCTTCTGCATGTGTGTAAGGGGAACACTTTCCTTTGATATTATGATATGTACGTGTTACTAACCCGTAGATAATATTTGATTTGATAGTAAGTACATGTGCGTTATACTAACCTGTGAACAATATTGGATCGATGTAAGTGATCCACAGCAGACACTAGTTGTCGAGCAAACTTTCTACACTCAAACTCAGGCAAAAATTTTCTGAAAATGATTACAATATTGTCAACACTGATTAGTTCATATGTACAAGTATGTGTGTTTGCATGAAGGAAAAATTTAGGTGCAACAAAAGAACTATTCGCTCCTTTATTAAAGATGAGGAGAGCAATTATATATATGTTTGCAACCAATCCCCTTACTTTTGACACCCAACGGTCTAAGAACCGGTTAAAAATTAACTCAAACTCTTTTTCTTTTTTGATGTAGAGACAATTTTGATAAGCATATATCTTCCTTACTCGTAAGAATTTTTTTCCATCCACAACGCCTTCATTATACGAATGCCTTTCCTTCAAACAAATCAATTATTGTGTTTGGGATTGTTTTCTTAACAGTCGGACTAGTCGGTTATGAAATATGTTTTATCTATACCTGATTGCCAAAAGATATTTTTAAAGCATATTAACACGAATTTCATCATTGATTGAATAGGTACATGTATCCAGTACCGTCATTCGTTACTCTATATACTTTATAACAGACTTTATATTGAGTATTAAAAGGAAACAAATCCCTTTTCAAAAATATACAAAGAAAACATCGTGATACGACTGTAGATATAAAATGTAATTATGTTTCTATTTTAATGTGAATATAATATAAATTTATGATTTGTAATATTAACAGACTAGTGATCATTAAGTTAATTTTTAATGTGGTTTACCATTTGTTAGTGTGTTTTGGTTTTTTTTGTGTAGCATTGGTAGCATTATGAATAGGAAAAATATGATACAATGCAATAAATAAGATCATTTTGTTTAAGTCTAGGTGTTGTACTGCTACATTAGTTCCAGGTATGGGGAGTGTTGAGCGCTCACAAACACGTTCAACCACGCCTCATTCTGTATTTGCCTGTCCTTAGTCAGGAGCCTTTAATTCAGTTGGTCGCTGTTTATCTTATTTGTTTTTTGTACATACATCAAGATGTGTTTTTTTGTTTTTGTTTGGGGGGGTGGGGGGGGGGGGGGGGTGGGGATTGAGGGAGGGGATTTATTTTAACATAAACCTATCAAACTATCCGGGAAAATAATTTTACAACATTTGTGGTCAACATAATATTTACTAGGAAATTATTCAACAGACATTATAATGCTTACTTTATACATAAATACTTGATGAATTCTCCACCTTCTACAGATTCCAGCACTAAATAATAACCGTTTTCTGTTTCCATGACTTCATACATCCGTACAATATTGGGATGTTGTATCTTTTGTAGAACGATTGCTTCTCTACGCACATTTCTACGAACGGATTCCTTCGCCAGCAATGCCTTCTTTGGAACTACTTTTACTGCAACCTGCATACGCCGAACAATATAAAGAGTTATATGGTTCACAATCATGGACACTTGCACAATGTAAAGTCATCATGTAGGTCAGTAAAAAAATGTAGAAGACTTTTGAATTTAATAAACATAGTGAACAATTATTATACAAAAAGATAATACAAAATTATACCGTTTCAAAGAAAATCAAAGTTCCTGAAAGCAAAGTTACAGGACTTTTTTTCTGTGCTACTACATTTACAGAAAACGAACATTCTTACAATTTCCTATTGTTGCTGATTTTAGAGTAGATTTTAAAGTAGTGGAACATTCAATATAAAAATAAGAAGATGTGGTATGATTGCAAATGAGACAACTCTTCAGAAGAGACCAAATGACACAGAAGCTTTTTGTACAGATTGTAAATACAGACCAGAAAATTAAAGAAACAGTACTAGCGGTGCTTTAGAAAATAAGATATGAATCACAATCTCTGACGGGAAATAATTTTGTAACCAGAAGTTTGGAAAGTCCATGGTATAAAATGTTTGAGAGCATAAAACCAAAGTTAGATAAGCATAATTTGTCTTAATAGGTGAACTTTGCCTGCAGGAGTAGTAACCTCACATTATTACAATAATATATATAAATATATGAACTCAAAATGAAAACAAATTTATGGCGCTTGGCGAATGAATGTATATTAAATGTGTTTGACAAAAGAGGTGGTCAAATATATTCGCGCTATTGCATCTTTACTATAATTTCATTTCCAAATACTTTCATTCAAATCACCATTTAAAGCCTTTTATGAAATAAAATACTTATTGGTATATTGTGTTCGGCCCACTTTCTTGCAAGATACAGTATCCACAGAAATCACATATTTATGTTGTCAGTCATAATGAATTAATCTTATTTTATCGCAGTATGATCTGAAAGATAATTTCTCGATGCACTGATACACATTTAATACGAATTTAATTAATATGACTACAAATCAATTTACCCGACCTTTTAATTAAAAATCATTTAACAATGACTATAATCTAACGTCTATCGTAAAAGTCAACTTATTATGTATGTAGTCTGAATATAGCGTTGTTAGATGTGATCTACTGATAATTAGTAATTGCGATATATTAATACCCTGTGAAACTTAGTGGCCTTCGTATATTTAATTATTTGTTTCGAATTACCAATGAACAAATGATGTTAACCCTTTGCGCTTTAAGCATGAAATATGTAATTATTTTATTACTTAGTGTATACGTTATTGACAAAAATGTGCATGTTGTGCATATAACTACATCTGTAATCTGCAACAGATTTATGAGTACTTTGAACTCGTTTTCTGTAACTTTGACATTTTTTGATACGGTACAATTAAATATTGTTTGACTAATGCATGCGTTCTTGTAGTCTGCAAATCGATATCATAGATAGAAGCTTTTTCTGACATATATCTGGTTTTTTTTATTTTGAACAAAGAATATAAAGTGATATTTACTTTGTTAAAATCTTTTTTAGTGTGATCAGGAGATACCAAATGACAACTGTGGGGACGCCTTGTTTAGTTCTAGTGGACATTCATTCGTTTTGAAACGAATACATGTTTTTGGACATACAGAAAGATGTTACACTATTGGACTCTGGTATTAATTCTAAATTTAGCATAAAGATCCTTTGTTATGTATAACCCTTGCATAAACAGTTCATGGACGATGCTACATTTGAACAATCTGATTGGAATACACATCATATGTCCATTCTTCACTTACAGTGATCTGACAACGCTTCGTTCTCCCCTTCTGTTTCAATCACTTTTCGGTATCCTCTCGTTTCATTTTAATTATCTACACACCTTCAAAAGTGAGAAGGGGGATATTTCATTGGCTGATGTAATAATTACCAGATCAGTTTTGTCAGATCCATGTAAGCGAAGCGTGGGTACATGATCTATGTTTCAATCAGATTGGCATTTGAATACATCAAGTTTGAGAAAACGCGAAGCTTTTCTATGTTTACTCAATAAACACAAAACTTCATTATCCCTGTACAAATGGTGGTAAGCCTTGAAAATATATCAAAATTTATATATTTACATTGAATTTCACATAAAGAAAATTCACCTTGATCAATATAGATATATAAGATACATCCGTTCAGCCCCTCAATCCCTAAACTTTTAGTGGAGCAGGATCTGCTTACCCTTCCAGAGCACTTGAGATCACCCCCGGTTTTTAGTGGGGTTCGTGTTGCTCAGTCTTAAGTTTTGTTGTGTTTTGTATACTGTTGTTTGTCTTGACTTTTTCTTTTTTTTTTGCCATGGCGTTGTCTGTTTATTTTTGACTTATAAGTTTGAATGTCCCTTTGGTATCTTTCGCCTTTCTTTTCCAAACTTTCACATTAAATTGGAACGCTATCTACAAACTTATAATGGAATACCAATGGGTTAAGCATTGGCTCAAAAAGTTGCTAATATCTTTTTTAGACAAATCAGAACAATACATTCCCAATACTTCTATTTAAAAACCTCTTTCTTTGTATCGTATTAACATAAAGTGGAATAATATATTATTAACTTTTGATGAGATAAATATATGGTTTTATCTATCTTTGAACCTTTGAAATAAGACTAATATTCATGCACAGAGGCCAACACAGATAAACGACATATTTACAATAACAAAAGACAGTTCTTGTTAAATTCCATCTTACAAGGATAGAAAATGCATGTTACGACAATTATTAAAAAAAACAAAGAATTTTACCATGAAATTATACATTGTACATGCAAGAGCACATGATCTTCAACACGGTGATTATCAATTCGGTGTTTACTTGCACGTTGGTTAAGCGCTTTCCTTTCTTCAGATAGTACGGTGAAATTATTTTTCACATTTCCTAACGTGAAGACGCTGTCTGATTCAAAATCCAATTCACATAGAAAACCTACCAAACTTATACGTATGTTGAATAAATTCCCACTTTCATTATTCTTTCCAACGACGCAAATTCCTTAACATGGCATATTTGCATCTTAAAAGACATTTTTCGATACTGTTACACAAGTAGGGGGATGTACTCATATGGAAACATCTGTATTGCAAGCAAACCAACAGACAATTCCAAACAACTTTCTTTCCAGAACTGTAATCCTTAACCACCATAGTATAATCATACTCTATAGCCAGGATCTCGAAAGTAGGTGGATATATTTCATCAACGAACCACAAACAAAACACTATCTAAGTAACAGATGTATTGAATGTGGCTGTACATGTTCTGTGTCAGAATTGTGACACTTAATCGCCAATTTTTGCTATAGGATTGTTTTTAGTGTTTTTTCACATATGCTGACTAGTATATATGGTCATTGTTTTTGACAAACAATGCATACTTTAAAGTCTGACATGTTCATTTTTCATAATGATTCCTTATTATTGTTCGTTGTCAAACATTTGTTTATTCCCTAAGAAATAAAACGTTTTGCCCATTTTGTTTATATTTCCTAATTTGTATAGATTTGTGTGTACAGAATGTTGAATTATCGATTGCTTGATAGGTTACTGTCTACTTAACGTCCTGTGGTAAATATTTCATGCTCATGCCTATTATGGACGACAACCAATCAACAATAACGTTCAACCGGACATTAACAGAGCACCTACGGACCCCTGGAGAGTTGCTGCAGGGTTTCTTCAACATACAAAAAAGTCAGCAATAAGATTTACAGATTCAGTAAATAAATTCAAAAATATTTAGCGCAGCAGATGCTCTGGAAGTACAAACAGATGCTGCTTTAATTTCACCTTAAAGTTTCTATACTAATAATTAAATCAAGATGAAAATAAGAAGATGTGGTATGATTGCCAATGAGACAACTCTCCACATGAGACCAAATGACGTAGAAGTAAGCAACTATGGGTCACCGTACATCCTTCCACAATGAGTAAAACCCATACCGCATAGTAAGCTATAAAAGGCCCCGAAATGACAAATTTTAAACAATTCAAACAAGCAAAATTACGACCTGATTTTATGTACAAAATAATAAAAGATGCACAAATATTATATACAACAACAAACGAAAACCATTGCATCACAGGCTTCTGACTTGGGACAGTCACATACATTCAGTTGACATTTTATTAACGAGTAAAGAGGGCCGAATTTAGCAATTTCTAATCTAATTTCAATTCTTCAAGATTTCCTTACTTATTTTAATTGAGACCGTAGTCTACTTGTGAAATTTATAACAGTAAAACGACATGATTTGAAATTTCATTTTAATACCTTGATCTATACATAAAACTGTTTAATTTTTACTTGACATATTGGTTTAAAACATTTAAATTTCACTTCTTTTCATATTAACTTTGAAATCGTGATTGACTTAGCAAATATGATATAAAATGCATGTAAACATATTCATCACAACTTGACTTTAGTCAATTTTCTTTTATCTGTTAACATACCTTTTCTTTGGCTATTATATGAAATCCTTGACGAACTTTAGCAAATGATCCTTCTCCAATTGTGCGACCCAATATGTAACTGCCTACTTTTTTCTTCTTATCAGTAGGGACAAAGTTCTCATCTGTTACCTTTTCTAAACTCTCCATAGTAAAACAATTCAAAAGGGTTTTAACGGTAAATTATGTAATTCTATCACTTCGCGGCATATTTCTTATAAATCACATGCAATCATACATAGATATATAATTAAATGTTATGCCATAATCTTGAAGGTTTTTAAACTCACAATATCCATCCTTTAGAATGTGAAATTTCATAACCTTGATTTGAACTTTAGAAATTATAATTTCTTTTATTTCAGAATAAGTACGTTCTTTATGCTTGACAATATAATGTGATGTTTTATATCCGTAGAAGTCCAAAGTACCGGAAGTAGAATTATTAAATGCACAGTAAGACACATCTAAAGAATACAAACGTCGACATTTATTGAGACATCTTCTTTAATAGTTCACCATTTATGTCAAATTCAAAATGAAATCAAATAATTCTAAGATAAACCATTGATTCTAACGATGATCCTTGCTATGTTGTTGAAAATGAAAGCAAGATTAAATGTTCTTTGACGGGTTACTCATTTTAATGGTCCGAATCAAAACAGCAGCTTAACTTGTAATTAAGATAGTACCAGTCTTTATTAGTTCACACAGATCAATGGCAACTTATTATGAAAGGAAATTAAATTGTTTAGATGGTTTTACCATATAAAAATATCAATATAATGTAATATATACGATATTTACTATTTTTGTCCCCTTTTGTTCCTAATTGTCGGAAGTTCAAACGTTTTTATTCGTACACTCAATAGATTAACATTACTAATTGTTAGCAAATAATACTAGGTCAAACATCATGGTATAAACAGTATAGTATTCCTAATAATCCATCTTCAAACTAAGCCCTGAAAATTCCTTCCGAGCGTGTAAGGCTAGCTGATGTATAACTCGTAAGGTTCAACTGTAAAGATTTAAAACAGTAATTCAATCTTATCACCAATTAAATGAGAAGTTTGGATTCCTTGTTTCCCGTTATGTAAAACTCAATCTGACCACGTGGATTGAATGCTGTTAAAAATGCACTAACCAAATACCTACTAATATTTGACCTTTTGAACGCAATATTCCATATATTTTCATATGAAATGCCTTTTTGTCTTTATTATCTTTTGTGTTTAACATATTATTGACATAAACATTTCACACAATAAAAAGTATCTGACTTATCTAGTCTTGGTAAAATGCATAAGTCCTTTGAACATCAAAACATTGTACTTCAAATCCTGGTTCTCTTGGTGTTCGTAGGAATGTATTCCGTGGCGTAAAAAAACTGCTATTGGCTTTGATGTATTCTTTATCATAGTCAGAATGAATATAGACAGTTATAATCCATATTTGATCAATCAGAATTAAAACTGCGATATAATTAATACCCCCTGTCTCAGTTTAAATGATCTCTTGTAATAAACCCACACAACATTAAATACAACAGTTGATACAGTTTTTAGAGGACCAGTGATGCAGAATGTCCTGATAGCATAGTGTGAATTATATCGTTATAACCACTACATCTTAACTTTTGTAATACTGCCATAGACCTTCTTTGTAAGGTTCAGCGATACTGTTAAACATATTTCTATTAATATTTGCATATCTGATAAAACTTTAAATCTCGTTAAATCTCGTCTTTATCTTGTTAAAGCGGTAAAGGAAACAATCTTTAACATAAAATTTATTCATAATTTGATTGTAAAATCATATGCTACTTTCATAAATACTACACAAAGTATACAATCGACCAGCTAAGGCAGAGAATAGAATATTTGGTATTTAATTTTAAGTAATAATTAAGCCACCTAAATAACGGAAACTGTTTTACTCTTTGTGTAATGAAATGTGACTGTAACGTCTCGAGGTTTTCGCTTCTAATTTTTTTTAATTACTATTCTATCATGCTGTTTATAATTTTGACACGGATTGTTTAAAGATGCTACAGGTTTGAACGTTCTGGTCCACATACAAGTTTGGTATAGTTACATTGTATTAGATCGTAATCCCTTTTTGTAATGGTAGGAGATGAGGTACTTAATTTTCTATTTACTCCTGTCATGGGTAATTGTTATATTTCGTTGATTGATCATCTAGAGGTCAGTTGTATAGAGGATTAGTTAGCTAATTAGCTAAAACAACAATGACTTGTTTATAACCATATTTAGAATAAGCGACTCAATTCTTAGATCGTTAAACTTTTCATATATCTTTTATAAAAAACCATCACTCAAAAATTGACGTTTGAATTTGTTTTAAGATAATATTATCCTTCTGTCGGTCATCTGCCCCCTGCTCACCACGGGGGGGTGGAAGTGTGATTTCGAGCAGGATAAGTATATTGTAACAAAGTCCATTTTTCCTTTTCATGTGTTCTTACGGCTGCTGGAATGTCGACAGATCTGATTTTTACATAAGTTGCTGCCTGGATGTTAGTTATAACATCCATAAAAATGTTAATGTTCGGCTGGTGCAAGTAAAACTGTTCATTGTAGTGCAAGTGAAACGATTCAGGGCCGTTGTTGGTTCATTTACAGTCTTTTTCTGACTTATTTGTTTTGATGGCCTTTAAGCTGATGGTTGTGTGTACACCCTGTCTAGTCTTGGTCAAAATTGGGGTATCTTTACATCTTTCCCTATAAATAGCTAATGAAGCATTCTTTAAATCTCTGAATTTAGGGTGATTTTCTTGCGTTCCCTGTAACGGTGTTAACCTAAGTAACGGTAATTGTCTGGAATGTATCATATCTTACCTGTTCATATAAAATTGGCACAAATGAAAACTTTGTTTTGGCGCAAATGAAAAAAAAATGATGTTTTCAAAATTGGCGTAAATGTCATACGCCCTGAACCAACCAATTGTTTTGTGCTTCGTTTCAATCTGACGATTCAATTCCTTTCCAACTGATTTTCAGATTAGTTCTTATTTTATTGTTATACCACTGCCCCGAGTAAGGGTTAGGTTTCAAGACTCACAAACATGTTCAACCCTGCCACATTGTTTATTTGCCTGTTCTCAAGCGTCTGTCCTTCTGTGGTTGTTGATTGTTGTAATCCATATTTGTTTTGTGTTTATCATTAATTATGTCAATAGTTTCTATTTTGATATGTTTTCTTTGCATTTTGACATTCCAGAGTCTTTTTTAGCTTTCAATACAGCATGGGTTTTGCTCATTCTTGAAGGCATTACGGGGGCCTATAGTTGTTTGCAACCTCGTCCCTTTGGTCCTTGGCTGATAGTGTTCTCATTAGCAACCATAACACATCTATATTAAGCAAAAACATAACAAAAAGCTAAAGGCTTCCAATGGTTGTCATTTGTTGCTGTATATCATATTTGTTTTTCGTTCATTATTTTGTACATAAATTAGGCCGTTAGTTTTCTCGTTTGAATTGTTTTACATTTGTCATTTCGGGGCCTTTCATAGCTGACTATGTGGTATGGGTTTTACTCATTGTTGAAGGCCGTACGGTGACCTATAGTTGTTAATTTCTGTGTCATTTGGTCTCTTGTGAAGAGTTCTTATTGGCAATCATACCACATCTTCGTATTTTTATATTCCATTACAATATGTTATTTATAGAACACAACTTTGTTTAGAGATTTTTAACTCAAGTTTAAGTAGAATAATCTATAAGCTGAACACTAGGTTTCATTTCAATTGCGTTATGTTAGAATGACAGCCTGGAGAAAAGAACAAAATGTTTCCACATATCTTGTAGTTTTAATAACTTTCCTATCTATTTGTAAGTGGACGTTTATTTATCATACAAACATTTTCATAAGTCAATAACTTATTACAAAATTCTAGTAAAACAAAATTCAATGATCCCTTTTACTTATAACTAAAACCCTTTTGTTACAATTAGTGTCTCCACTATGAAAATAAAGTACACCTTAGGTGCTTTTTTGAGGTCTTGAAGGGAATTTCTTTTATGTTTCGTGCTTGAATATTACTGAACCTAATCATTAAATCTTCGTAGATCTAAATTAAAGAACAAATGAAGTCTAACACTTAGTAGTGCATCGTTATTTTTCGGATAATTCGATAAGCTTCACTTTCAAATTCGTTCTAGACCAACTCCTTCATACCGTAAAAATCGTATATCAGTGGTGAGATTACACATTAAACTGGTAGTTACACTTAAGTCGTTGCTCAGTATTCATGTGACATTTCCCACAACCCCTGACAAAGGCCTTTGAAGGTCAAAATATGGGGCCGCTATTTTTGTCTTTTAGAAATTATTGTTTTGTATATTTTTCATTTTGCTGATTTCTCCCATTTAAATTTGGCGATTGTATCAAATCCCTATTTTTCTTTTGTCGATGCGTATGAAAAATATTTATCGATGCCTTTGATAACGACCATTCACCATTCACCCAACATCTCAGTTCCATTAAGACGACGTATACGTGAAAATTTCGTTTTAATTATATGAAAGTGATTGGGATCATCGTTTCATTTTTGCTTCTAAATGATTGAAGTTCGTATGATGTATGAAAAAGAACACGTTGCATAGTGACAACGTCACGACGTATCAACTTTTAATCATTTTGATCTTTCTTTCAATCTAGATATCGAGACTAATACCGTCTTCACACTATGAAATTTGATCCGGGTGAAACCCGGGATAGTTGTCCCGAATTAATTACCCCAGTTTACACTAAGTAAAAATGAACCCACTTTGGGATTTTCGCTGACCACTGTACTTGTTTGCATTCTTTGCATTACAGTTGCATTATTTTGAAATCTGAAATTTTTCCGCCCTTAAACGCTAAGTAGGCAATTCGCATCAACCACATTCCATGTCGCGTTTGCGAAAAACGTCACCCAGTACCCACGGTCACCCTTTATAACTATTTTGTCATTCAAACAGGAACGATCAATTAAATTAAGAAATTATAATTTAATGATCTCGAGAAATCGAAATTGAAGGTCAAAGCAGATTTACAGCGAGTTTTAGGTACACTTCTCATTAAACTTAATGTGTCTAATATGAAAATATGAAGATGTGGTATGATTACCAATATAAAAACTTTCCACCTGAGAATAAATGACGTAGAAAGTTGGCAACTATAGGTCACCGTAAGGCTTTCTACATTGAGCTTAAACCAACCCAAAAGCAAGCTATATATAAGTCCACGATATGACAAATGTAAAACAATTCAAACGAGAAAAAAACAACTACCTGAATTATCTGAAAGCCATAAACGAAAAACAGATATGATAAACAGTAACAAACGACAACCACTGACGGGCTTTAGACTTAGGACGGACACATACAGAATGTGGCGGGGTTGAATTAGTTTGCGGGCGCGCCAACCCTCCACAACCTGGGACAGTTTCGCCCAGAAAATGAACAGATTGTAAGAGTATAACACAATACTAAGTTTATCAAAGAAATGCTGTGACAGTCCTTTTATGTTTTGTCTAGCACAACGTGTCAATGTGAGTTATTGTTCTCGTTGATCGACATCTTTTGATATACTTCTTCATTCGTCATCATCAAATTCACACTCCTCCGTATAAACAGAAGAACATCAGTCTGCTGGATACACGTTTGTGAGCATGTTAAACTGATATAACTCTACCACAGTGTGTGCCTGTACAAAGTCAGACTAAACTGATATCACTCTACCACAGTGTGTGCTTGTACAAAGTCAGACTAAACTGATATAACTCTACCACAGTGTGTGCCTGTACAAAGTCAGACTAAACTGATATAACTCTACCACAGTGTGTACCTGTACAAAGTGTTGGATACACGTTTGTGAGCATGTTAAACTGATATAACTCTACCACAGTGTGTGCCTGTACAAAGTCAGACTATTTTGAATTAGAGGTTAGTGGATATTGTGGTCCATTGTACTGTTCAATAATTTGGTAATTTCTGTTATCTTATTCATGTTTAATCAAAGGGCAGAGTTACTTATTTTGTAAATGTAAAAATTTCAAAACTTTGTTGCATATGTTTTAAGCATCTATTACAATCAAACTCCACTGTCCATCCACCAATGAAGTATCCTTTTATAGATTAATGTAAAGTGTTTAATGACAAAAGCGGATTTATGCCCAGTACTTTAGAGTACAAATACAAGTCAACTTAGTCTACAAGTATCAAAATACAGCCCATATTTTTATAATAAGAAACATTTCTAATATCTGAATCAAATACTTACTTATTAGAGATTTAATAATTGTAATCTGACAATAAGCAACATTATGTTAGAATAAGATATATTCAATATATAAATGGACGTATTTATTTTATATGTTAACCGGGATTATTAAAATCTATCTATATTGTATGTGTTAATTTCAAAGTCGTATGTTATTAACATTTTTTTCGAATGTTCAGCATTCAGAATACTTGCATGACGATGTATTTGATAACGATAATAATCTAACGTGTTATTTTGTGGTTGCATTGTCCGCTCGAATGCAGAGGTCATGATTTCGATCCACAGCCGGGTCTTACCAAATACTTGAATATTGGTATTTTGATGTTTCTTGTTTAACCACATATCATTTAGTGGTAAAACTAAGAGTGATATACACAGACTAGTGTGATTTAGCACG